ACAGAGAGGTAGACCTAAAGGGTCGACGAATGCGAAGTCGACTACTGCTGCTGCTGATGCTCACAAGAAGGCCCGTGCCCTAGCTGCTGAGGATGCATCGTCCCAAGGGCCTAAGGAGGTGACGATCACGACCAATTCTACATTGATGAGGTCGAATCTTTTGCGAGGCCCAGCGAAGAAGAAGACAGTGACCTTTAAAGAGGTGTCGGACTCAGACGACTTCAGCGAACCATCACCTCCACCACCTGCAGGGCGAAGGCGACCAGCTGAACGTCCAGCTGGCCTTGCCGCGAAGCCTTCCCGAAAGGGTACCCCGACAGCTGCTAGAGGTCGCAAGCCTGCGGCGACCAAGAAGGGTGCCTCCAAGCCTCTTTCCCCGAAGAAAGCAACACAAGTCGCGAAGGGAATCTCCTCGTACGCCAGCTCTGACGGTGAGGATGATGAATTGAGCATCACCAAGGACCAGAATAAGCTACACGTCGACTCCCCCAACAAACACGGATCAGAGCAAACCGGACTCGGCTCCCCAGTGAAACGAATTAATTTCACTTCCAGCCAACCTCCCAAAACTGTCGACGAGAACGGACAGCCTACTCTCCAACCACCGAAGTCGGTCGATTTCAGCGATGCAGCTTTTCTGTCTAGCCCTGCTCGACGACCACCCCCTTCTCCATTTAGTTTCAGCATCAGAGAGACTCCACGGCGCGGACTTGCTTTGCCCGAGGATCCAAAGTCTATCGCTCAGCCTAACTTCACACCCACAGACAACTCACCACTAAAGTCGTCGCCCAGGAAAGCAAACTTGGATACACCGAGACGTGGTAATCTCGGCTTTGATGATCTAAGGCCGCTTTCCCAGCCGAATTTCACACCGGGGCAGAACTCGCCGCTTAAGTCTTCACCTAAGAAGGGGCTTTTTGGAGCCTCATTCATGTCACAACCGTCCCTACAGGAATCGTCAACACCTTTGAAACGCAGTTTGCTCCAGAGTCCTGCGAAGAAGGTTGCCTCCCCGTTCAAAAGTTCTTTGCTATTCTCGAGATCCCTAATGACTGAGCATGTTGAGTCTGATTCCAACCGGGGAAAAGAGTTGGAGACGGCTCCTCCCCCAAAGGTTGCTGAAACCTCGTACCAGAGGTATGATTCAGAAGAGACCTTGGAAATGCCGGACGATGAGGAAACCCCGGCCAGCAGATATGATGCCGACACGCCTGAACCTGAAGTAGAGCCTGAATTCATTGACGGATCCAACGACATATCGCATACCCCGCAGTCTGAGATGGAGGATGAGACTCATGGGCAAAACTTTACACATACTGACGAAGCTGACGAAGCTGACGAAGCTGCCGAAGATGTTGTGGGAGATTTGGGTATAAACCACGAAGACACAGCAAGTGAGCCCGAAAAGGATATGAAAGATGTCGACGACGGTCCAGAAGAGCCTCTGGACCCTGTTGCCATGGACTGTGAAGGCACCGTTGAGAGTGATGGAGTTGACGTAGGCCTCTATGAGCTCTTTGAAGGCCAAAATGAGATCGTTGAAAATATCCTCATGGAGGATGATTTCGAGCAGGACAACTTTCAGGAGCGGCTGGAAACATATGTACCAGCGATCCCGGAAGATTACACGATTTGTCTTGACGTCGCGGAGCAGGATGCCTATGAGACTGCTCAATATGCGGAGAGCATGGTTGATGCAGAGATTGATAATGAGCACGACACTGCCGAGGATAGGATCTCAGTGATGTCGAATGTGGATGAGGATATCTTCACCCTCGAAAATCAACAGGGCGATGAATCTGAGGAAGAGGAATACGAATCTGAGGATAATTTACCGAACGAGGAGCCGGTAGAGTTCGCAAGTCGCGAAAGGATGCTTGAGGGACTCGAAGACGTCTTCACTGAAGGTCCTGCTGGCACCTCTGAAATGCCTCGTGATGAAGAAACTGAGGATTATGCTGAGGCCCAGGAAGTTGCGGGTGACCAAATAGTCGACCCAAACTTGGACTATGAAGAAGAAGAGGTCAACAGGCTCAATGATTACGCATTCGATGAGGAAGAGGTTACTCTTGTCGCGTTTGATACTCCCGGGAGAACACTCAGACAAACCCCTCGGCGTACACCACGACGGACATCTAGAAGAGTGTCTGAACGGACACCTAGACCGACATCTACACAGAGCCCGAGACACACACCTGCACAAGGGTTGCGACAGACTCCTGAACAAACACCTCAACAGATGCCTCAACAGCCTTCGGAACAGATGCCCAGAGAAACACCTGAACCGACCCCTCAACCACGGGCACTCACCCCTGAGGTATACGCTCCGTACGAGATCGAAGAACCACCGACTCCCCAGGTCCCAAACTATTTCTATTTTGTTCCACAGTATTTCGCCTCGTTCGCGCCTCCTCGTTTCCCTGATGAGTACCGTGACACAGCAGTGGAAACGAGCTTTGATGCCGCCGATAATACGACTACGGCGGATCTTCCTATCCCAGACGTCCAGCCCTCTCCTCAGCCCCAAAATCAGACTCCTGGTCCGGAGAAGGAAAGGCGTCAACGCCCCCGCTTCACACTGTTGGCCGAGCAGCTCAGCGAGTGGAAGGCGAGTAGCCCTAAGAAGACTGAGCAAAGGCGCTCTGGACGTCGGGGCATCTTCTCCCTTTCAGGCAGTCTGAGCGGCCCTAGCAATGTCAATACTACCCAAGACGATGTGTCTTACCCCGATCTCTCAGCCAAGTCACAATCCCCAGTGGTTGATGAACCCCAGCCAAATGAGGAACCTGTGGCCACCGAGGACGAGTACGATTTGGTGTCGCCAGAAATGGGTCGCTGTGCCTTTGAGGATTTGGAGAAGTCTCCCGGACTTCCTATGTTCGAGATATTTAGCGATGAGGACCTAGTGGAAAACAAACAAACTGATGCCCGTGAGGACACGCAAGTTTCCATTGTTTATGAGAGCCCGCTGCGTCCAGCGGCGTCTACCCAGGAAACGTTGGATGATGAGAAAGAAAATTACGAAGTCCAGCTTCCCGCGCCGGCCACGCCAGTGCGGGGCAAGACCAGCCCCTTGCAAACATTCCACACGGTGTCCAAGGTGCCCTTGAAGCCGGAAGGGGAAGTATCCCCTTTGAAGGTGTCCCGTAAGCGAGGCCGCTCTCTTTCCATCACATCGCCGACTCGCTCCTCTCCTCGACTTCGTAAGTCTATCCTCGCTCTTCAAGAGGACATTGACTTTCTTCCCCCTCGCAAGGCACCCAGGTTATCGTATAGTACAATGCCACAATTGCAACCTACCCGATCGAGAAGCAGCTCCAGGGTACGGGATGCAACACAGGTGGTTGAACGGGAAAGGGCTCCTTCTCGTTCTCCCAGCCCTGCCAAGTCCCACCGCAGGCGTAGCAGCATTGTTCAGCCGACTCCAACCGGAGCCCTGCAAGGGGCTGTCGTGTATGTGGACGTGCATACGACCGAAGGAGAAGATGCTAGTGGGATCTTTGTGGAGCTTCTGCAGCAGATGGGTGCCCGATGTGTTAAGAACTGGTCCTGGAACCCCCGCTCGAGTGTGTCTCCCGATGAACAGGCTGAGACCAGGGAAGGCAAAGTTGGCATAACTCATGTCGTCTACAAGGATGGCGGTGTGCGAACTATGGAGAAGGTTAGACAAGCCGCGGGTTTGGTCAAGTGTGTAGGTGTTGGCTGGGTCTTGGACTGTGAAAGAGAAAACAAGTGGCTGGACGAGGCCCACTATGCCGTCGACAGCTCAATTATTCCGCGTGGAGGAGCCAAGCGCAGAAAGAGCATGGAGCCCCGCGCACTGAGCAATGTCAACGGGACTCTTGTCAAAGCCGATGCAGGGAGCAGACGATCTGGTGTGGGCGCCGCCGATTTCGCGCGAACGAGCACATCCACTGCTCGCGATGCGCCTTCAACTCCCAAGAGGAGCAAGAAATCCGAAGCCGGCTATCCGGGAATAGACCCGAAGTATTTCCAAACACCCAAAACTCCTGCTTTCACCTTCAACATGGACTCCGTTGGCATGTCCCCAGCAACTCCCTTCTTCCTGTCTCAACGGTCGAAACTTGTACAGCAGACCTGTCCTCCAAAGCAGATCCGACAGGGACTTTTCTCCAACTCCGGGCCAAGTGAGGAGCAGTCACAGAAGCTGCGGGTGAAGTTAGAGGCAGCCAGACGGAAGAGCCTTGCTTTTAAGCCCAAGATTGGGAGTCCGTTAGTACCATAATTTCTTGCTTTTACTTGGTGTTTCGTGCATTGTCTTGGATCTGGATTGAGTTGTTTGTTCTGTTTCATAAATCATACCCCTTAGCAGTTGGATTTTGTATTGTACAGGTGACAATTGGATATTTTGAATGTTCAGTTTGTTCTTTGTAAGTTGCCGTCATTACGGACCCTTACATCCCAGGCCATGCAGTATAGCTGCAGTTTCAGTTTTATATGTGCACAACTATCGAAACAGCAACCCAGCACAGAACAGCACAGTACTACACTCAGCGTAACACCGTAGCACTACACTATGTACCCTATATCCAAATCATTAATTTCACACCCAAACCAACGCTATGTAAACAGCCTCCCAGTCCAAACTGATATCTTCCAAACCTACCTCCAAATCCAACCTCAAACCACAAGCTCAACCCACATCCCGAACGCTCTCAACAACACAAACATGAATATCGGTGATTTCGAGCATCTGATGCCTTAGGCTTTGCTCAATTTTCTGGACAATGTTGCCAGGGACGGTGTGGGCTCGGAGCTGGATCGGGATTTGATGAGTCTTGATATTTGATCACATCTAGATAGTATGGGTTTACTATAGTGGGTATTTCTTGGGTCCATTTGTATGACACACTTTGTATTTCTGGTCATTATGTCATATGCTTTCATGCTTTTATATTCCAAGTAATTGGAGGAAAGATAATCTGATAATAAAAAAAAAAAAAAAAAAACCCCTGAGATATATCATTCATATTTCCTCGTTAGATCGAATTCGTCTCTTCGTCCATCTCGCGGTAAAACCCAGCTACTAAGAAAGCTAACTCTAATGCCTGCTTCTCGTTCAACCGGGGATCACAGAATGTCGTGTACCGCTCACTCAAGTTCTCCTCGGTCAAACCGCCAGCACCACCAACGCACTCCGTGACCGCCTCTCCAGTCAACTCAAGATGCATGCCACCAAGGAACGAGCCAGCTGTCTTGTGGATTTCCAAAGCTTGATGCAGCTCAGAGAGAATGTCGGTGAAATGACGAGTCTTGACGCCGGAGGGCGTGGATTGGGTGTTGCCGTGCATGGGATCGCACTGCCAGACGGGCAAGTGACCGGAGGCCTGGACGGCGGCGATGTGACCGGGAAGATGTTGGCTGATCTTCTGTGCACCATAGCGGGAGATCAGAGTAACTTTGCCGATTTCACGAGTGGGGTTCACGACATCGAGGATACGCACGAGCTCGTCCGGGGTCATGCTGGGGCCAATCTTGATGCCGATAGGGTTGGCGATGCCGCGGAAGAACTCGATATGTGCGCCGTCGAGTTGACGGGTGCGGTCTCCGATCCAGAGGAAATGGGCGGATGTAGCGAAGTAGCTTTGCGGGGGTGCAGGGGCTGTGGTTGCCCCGGGGGCTTGTGCAGGGTGGGTAGTTTCAGTGGCTGGGTTTTTCAAAAGGCGGGTTAGACTCTGCTCGTATTCAAGTAGAAGACCTTCGTGACTTGTGTAGATGTCGACGGTTTCTACACCGCGGTCGGTGTCGATCCCCACAGTCTGCATGAACCGCAGGGCGTCCTTGACCCTGTTGACGATACGCTCGTATTTCTCCTTGATGGTTGGTGTGATGACATGACCGAGTCCCCAGTCCAATGGGGAGTGCAGATCAGCCAGACCAGAGGTTAGTGATGCGCGCATGTAGTTGAGTGTGGCGGCGGAATGGAAGTATGCGGAGACCAGCCGTGATGGGTCTGGGGTGCGGGACTCCAGGGTGGCCTCGAAGCCATTGATGTTGTCACCACGGAATGAGGGCATCTCAACACCGTTGACAACTTCCATGGGACTCGACCGCGGCCTGACAACGTTAGACGGGTTTGTCTTTCAAATGTACTATAAGCCAGCCAATATTTAAAGAACTCACTTGGCAAATTGCCCTGCTATCCGTGCAATACGGACGACTGGCTTATTGGCACCTGTAAAGCGTTAATATCGGTATGGGACAAATGGACAGAAAACATACCCCAAATCAAGACTAAGCTCATCTGCAAGAGCAGCTTAACTTTGGCCTCGATCATATCCTGATTACAGTAGTCAAACAGCTCCGCACAATCTCCTATTAATGGATCAGCAACTAAAACTCGTGGAATCAGTGAATGGACGAAATCCGTACCTCCTTGGAGTACGAAGGCCTTGCCCAATGCCACATTTTTCAAGCTCTTCTTCAAGTTGGTGATCTGTGAGTTGAGTCAGCATCCTCCAAGTCATAGTAGTATATCGTCGTGAAGAATGAAGGACGTACCTCTTGGGTGGTGACCAAAGGAGGCAATTTCTGTAACTTGCCCAGAGCTGCTTGAACCCCTTTGGCATCATTGTAAGGGACATCTTGCTTGATGGGTTTCGAAGCCCAGGCTAGTGGGGGGTTACAGTGTCAGCAATCAGGGCGGCTATACGCTATATGGCGGGGAAAAGGGCATATCCGGGGGACGCACAGCTTGGAGTCCAAGGGTCCATGATGTGGAGTCTCAGGATCGACGGCTACCTGATGATTCGATGGCTACTAGAAAGAGGGTTTAGACGGATAACCCGTAGGAAACTCAACGAATTGACGAACGTACGTGCCAGATGACCTTCAACTTGGCAGGAATTTGTTCCACCACATATAGCAAACAAAAGAAAGGGAAAAAAACTGCCGGTTATTCGCGGCCTGAGTCACACTATGCCACTAGTCCTAATCGGGAAGACACGGGGTTACGGCAGCTTATCGGCGTCATCTCGTTATCAACTTCACATCTATTAACTACTACGACAAGTTCCTACAGATCCCGTCCCCACAATCTACCCTAGGCTTGATATAAGCTCTTTGTTGACTTGACTAAACCTTACTTAAGTTCACTGACCATGTCTGACTCCATCCCCTCTGCCCACTCGGACCTTGACGCCGTCGATCAGCATCGCCCCGCAAACGCGGAAGACCGTAAAGCCGCCGCTGCCCTTTCCTCTCTGAACAAGAATGAAATCGGTACGGACACGGGCGCCAAGCCGCCTTCATCCGCCGACCAGGAGGTATTGGGAAAGGCGATGAGCCGGTTGGAGATCGCTGCGGGGCAGGATGCCGGCAAGAAGACGACTGGGCCGCAGAAGGAGGCAGAGGTAGTGAGGAAGAAAGCCGTGAAAGTTACCTCGGAAGATATTAGCCTCTTGGTGCGCTTGCTATTGTCATTCCTTTCCCAATTATGCCGGGTAGTCTGACATGTAACACTGGCTGCAGGTCCAGCAGTTAGATTTAACAAAGGCCAAGGCGACAGAGCTCTTGAAATCCAACAATGGCGATGCTAAGCAGGCGATCAAGGCGTTTATAACTCCTGCTGGGGCTTCGATTGCTACCTGCTAGCTGGCCTGAAATTGGAAGGTAATGGATACTTGGGTATATCGCCAGTAGACAAAGGCTATTTAAGCACGGCTAAATCATTACGACTGCTTTCCCGGATAAAAGTTAATGAACTTAAATGACCTGCAACATTGAATCAACTAAATGGAATGGTATCTAATGCGTCTATTGTATGCGGATCTTGTACACTCATAAGATCGTGACAGACCATGCTGTCCAGATCTTATGATATATGCTATGTATAATACCTCATCAGGAATCATCTTCTTCGGTCTGACCCTTCTTCCGCTCAATCCCCTTATCCTCATAAATTGACCAAAGTAAACACCAGCCTACTATGGCCTCCACCGCCAGAGCCCACCATATGCCGCCCACCATGTTGTACTTGAGTCCCAGTCCTAAGCCCCATCCTCCAATTAAAGGACCAAGAGTACGCGCACCGCTTGCGATGCTCTGCGCCACCCCATGAATAGTTCCCAGAACGCGAGGGTCCGTGACGCTGTTATTTACAAGGATGATCGCAGCCGGAAGGGCAAAAGTTCGCGAGACCACCTGCAGCCCTACAACAGCAGTAAATGCAGGCCAAACCAGCCACGGGTATCGCGGTATAAGGACGATAAACGGCATCAGCGCGTAGGCTAAAGGCGAGAGTGGCAGAAACGTGCGGAAAGAAGTCAAGGTCCCCAGACGGGACTGAACTCGAGGATAGATGAAGATCTGCAGCGGAAGCCCGATGAACCCGATAATAGCGGTGGCAAGGCCAACCCGAGAGGATGGCAATCCCAGACCACCGCCGAAATGGAAGAGACCATCTCGGCTACCCTCTGGAGCCCGAGGGGCAGGCAAGAACACGAAAGTCATTGAGTTGCAGGCACTGGTGTGGAATGCTAATAAGAAATGCACCAGCAAGGTAAGTAACACATTAGGCGTCCAGATCTGACGAAAACTAGGACGATCACCACTAGGTCGAATGCGTGAGCGAGCCGGACTGGGGGGTGCCGATCTGCTGGCTACACTTTCATCAATGTAGAGAGATTCATCATCCGCGTGGCTGATAAGGGGACGATAATACTGCGAGATCCGACGACGGGAGAAAGTATTAACAAGTCTTTTGCCTAACTTCCGGCCCCAATCGCTTCTATGCCGAGTAACCTCATGAGTCTAGTCCATTAAATGTATTAGCAACTTGGACAAATGGGCAAAACCTGGTGACCCCTACCTCGTCTAATCCGAGGATTACGGCCAACAAAGAAGCGAAAATGTATACGGCACTGAGAAGATTCGGCAGTGCAAATGGCCAATGCAACATCCACCTCACACCATCTTTGCCCCCTAAGAACGACCCAGGTCCGAACATCTGCGGATAGTTCTTCACAGGATCAGCCAGCATGCCTCCTAATACAGGCCCGATAATAACCCCGATATTGAAACACATCGGTAGCAGAAGAAATGCCCGAGACTGGAACCTGTAACGACTTGTTAGGCCCCTTGTGATTTGGACCGGGTCGAATGTTTAGGTAGCTGCGCGGACTCACCTCTTCTCTTGAATGATCTCGGCAATCATCGTTCTCATCACTCCAACATTGCTATTCAGAATACCACCTAAGATTCGGAACACCACCGCGGAAGCAAACGATCTCGAAAATCCGAACCCGAGGGACGAGATACATGTTCCCAACAGGCCAATTATGAGAACCCATTTCCTGCCCATCCATTCAGTATCCGCCAATCGGCCCCACCAAATAGCAGTCACAAATTGCGCAGCAGTAAAACTACCTTGCAAGATGCCTGCTTGCGCCGAGATAGTTGAGTCGGGAAGGGAGGGATCAAAAGACCGAAGTTGGTAGAACAGATATGCTTGCAAAGACGTCTGGGCCAACGGCTCGGACAGACGTGCAAAGGTCAGGATAGCAAGTTGGCCTTTTTTAGGTAATGAGCGCCATGTTACTGGTTTCTCACTGTGGGCTTCCGCCGGATCGTTGCCGCTGTCATCTTCATCGTCGCTGTCGTCGGAAACACCCCGATGCCGGCGACTTACCGAGACGCCGGTAACTGAGCGATCTTGAGTAGAATCACCGTCGTAAATAACGGTATCCACGCTTTCAGTGTCGTCATACTCATCGGGATTGTCGTGGTAAGGAGCCAGAGCATTATTACCTTCTGGCGGCGACTGAGTTTTGCGGTGTTGAGAGTGTTGGGAGTCGGTATCTTCGGTAGTAATACCGGAATCTACATCGTCGATAGGGCGAGGGGGAATTACACGCAGTCGACTCGGTCCCATCAGTAAGAAATCGTAATGATAGGCACCTTATGACACACAATCGTGAAACCTGAAAATGAATTATAATAACAAGGTCAGGTGGCGATTTGCCGTATAGGAAAGGAAAGTTTGGTTGGGTTGGGGAAGAAGATTTAAGACCCGGAGAAGCATGGCAACATGCACGCTATACCTGTTTGAGTCTATCAGATCAACAGTCTGACGAGTGGGTCCGATATTGAACTATGGTATTACTAAAGTAGCGTTATCCAATTCCCTATCCCACATCATAATACAGCAAATTAACAATGCCTAACATACACCAATGCAGCCGGACACGAGACGCCATTTCCAGGTTAAGCAGAAGAAATTCAAAGTAAAGGAGGGAACAATTTAGTTACGAGATCAAAGTCGGACGGAGACCGCACAGGTCAATCGACGCCCAGGCTAATCTCAAGTAACAAAGGCCTTGGCCAAGACACCCTGAGAACAGTCAACGCTCAATAAACGGACACTTTTCTCCGGGGTTAATTCCTTTTTCGATAAAGAAAAAACATGGTTCTCAGCCCAGGGACATACACATTTAAGTCAGTCTTAAACCCGAGCTTATATCATGCCTCATGTTGAGAGGAAAGAAAGGATATCAAGAGAAAGGGGGAAGGGTACAGGAAAAAAAAAAAAAAGAAGAAATGGTAGAGAAGGAAAAAAGACGACATCTGTCGTCTGATAGGTACGAATACTTCGACAATATCCTTAATCAATTGCGATTGCTGCCACCGGTCACATCCATTGTACTCTCAATTCCTTCCCATGGAAGGTCCTCGTCATCGTCAATATCATAATCTGTTTCAGCATTTTTCTGTGACGACTTATCGCTCGTAGCAGTCATATCAGCTCTTGCGGCTCCCACGTCAATGCCAATCGATTGGAGAGTCACCTCCATCTCCTGCTCAGTCATCTCCTGACCCTTACTCTTCTGCCCCTCAAGAACATCGTACAGGGCATAAATCTGGTCGGCCTTCATGTCGATGTCCTTCAGCAGCTTCTCAATCTTCGCAGATAGCGATTTCCTCTGGCGTTTGCTCAATGACGCATCCAGTTTGTTGTATGCCCCCTGGTACGTCACGAGCTGCATCTTCAGATGTGACAGCTCGTCCTCCAACGCCTTGAGTACTGTTGCAAGGGCAACCGCTGGCGGTTGTGCAGGGCGCATGGTAGGTTCTTCATTGTAAATGGACGGTTCTGGCATTCGCTCTGACACCGGAATCGGCTTAGGGATCTTCACCGACTCTCGAGTGTGGTCACAAGAGTCACCGGGGATAGAACGCTTGCATACCGTGCAGTTCTTTCCATTGTGCTGGGTGGCACTGTCCAGTGCCCGTTGCGCAGACTGGGGCAGACGCGCCGGATTTTCAGCTACTAGGTCGGCGCGATGAAGCGTGATGTCAGGCAGGATGAATGCCGACGTCATATCTTCGGAGACTTGGCGCCTCCGGCGAGGGGTAGCGGAATGGTCTGAGTGTCGCCTAGGACGTTCAATAGGCACGGACAGGTTACTGTCCCCTTCACTGGCTCTGGAGGTTGCTGTCACGTCGCCCATAGCCGAGGCCGGCCTCGTAGGGATTTCCTTGGGTTCTTTTAAGGATGATTTCCGAGGCGCTGCCGACTTGGACACACTGCGACGGGTTGTGTTTTCTGTTTCGTTAGAAGTGTGATCCCTGGAGGTACTTGATTGTCGTCGTTTGCGCGCCAATCTTTCTTCTTCTAGAGTCTTTCGCAGTTGGGCAATTTCACGTTCCTGTAGATATGATAAGCTTCGGATTGACCACATCATGGTATAATGATTACTTACGTCGATAAAGCTCAGCAAGGTCAAGTCCTGCTCCGCCCCGGAGGACTTCCTGGTGTTCCCAGTTGCCTCAACGGTCGAATCAATAGGTTCGGTGACATCTACTTCTTCCACAACCACACGCTTGACACGCTGCTTACCCGTGTTTGGCTTCTTGGTCTGGCTACGCTGTCCGGACCTGCTCGTACTGGAAGATGGCTCCTTCGATCGCGGTACATCAATGGTGAAGAGAGCCTCATCCGCTCGCTCCTTCTCAAGTCGCGAAATTTCGTTGTCCACCTGGGTAGAAATTCTCGCCTTGGAATCTTCCCGGCGCCCGGTCTTCGATCGTGTACTCTTACTGGTGAGCTCCTTGGTTCCCCGACCCACATTTCTGCTATGTGTGTTGTCTTGGCTGGCTTCGGTGCTGGCTTCAGACACGGATGTCTGTTCCGATTGTTGAGTCTCTTCACGCTTTTTCGAAATGAACGGAGCAAGTTTCACCAGTTGTGATTTTAGCTCCGCATTCTCATGTCGAAGGTCCTCGATCTCGTTTTTGAGATCCTGGGATTCGAGATAAGCTACCCCTAATTGGGAGACCGCCATATCACGTTCCCGGTTCAATCTTTTCAATGCGGCCTCTTGAATCTCTACCTTGCGCTCTACAACGTCCAGCTTGTTCTGCAAGGCCAGGTTGGTGGCATCGAGTTCTAAAGCAGTCCGTTAGCAACAGAAGAAGGTAGAATGCAGTAACTATACTTACTTCGGTTTTCATTGGTCAGACGATCCTTCCGGTGGTCATCATCATCGGTGTCGTATTTGGTCCGGCTATGTTTATCCTTCGCGCGAGGCTTGCCGGCTTTGAGGGTAGCGTTCTCGTTCTTGACTTCTTCGATCTTCCTTTCAGCTTCCGCCTTGGCTCTCTCAAGCTCTGAGACCTTATCCTGGAGAAGCCTCAGGGATACAAATAGAGCCTTCTCATCTTCCGGGATCGGGACAGCATCAAGAGAGACATGCTCACGAGTCAAAGACACGTCGGTAGCATCATGTGGAGGAGATACAAAACGTGTTGTGCGTGCGCGATTTTGACGCGTGAAAACCGGCGTGCCGTCTTCGTATACACCAGAAACCAATTCCGAGAGATTGGGAAGATCGGGCAGCAGAAACGACTGTTGCGTAGCAGTATCCCCAGCCGTGCTCATGTACGCCAGTCGTGAGTTGGCGGGTTGCTTTCCTTTTCTGATTTCTCGAGCATATGCTTCCTGCGACGCTTTTTCCACGGCGTCGGTAATCTGGTGACTTCCGAAGCGTGTCGTGCGCGCGCTGTTCGTTGCCGCCGGGGGTCGTTCGTCGCCAAGAAAAGAGCCGTCATAAGAGTCGCGTACCTTTGCATGCATGTCGGATAGCGTCCGCCGTTGGCTGCTCGCCTTGGATCTCGAAGTCTGCGGATCGACATTTTCTTTTTGAGCGAGACTTGCCCGTCTCAACTGAGCATCTTTGCGAAGATTCTCACTAGCCACCCTGCGTGACGTGTTGCGCGTGGCTGGCTTCTGGGGAGTAAAGGTAGGGTAGTCGAGTCTCACGGCGGGCGACGAAGATCGGACACTGTTCTCGATGCTCATATACGAGTTTCGCGAATCATCTAGACGACGCGCGGGTTTTGCGGGGCCCCGTCCAACCTCTACAGAGAAGTCATCATCCTCAGGGAGGTCATCTTCCTCCGATGAACCCGCCTGCGAGAACTCGGGGAAGTAGCGTTCTAACATGGAGGAGTTGATGGCGTAGTCGGGTTCTTCCTCATGATCAGATTCGTGGCGAGACTTTCCAAGGCTGTCCTTCATAACTGGAAGCTTGGGACTGTGCCCGACTTCTTTAGTGGACGCGAAAGCTTCGTGCTCTAGATCGAAGTCCGAGCCGAATGACGCGAAACTGTTCGCGGTATGCTCGCGCGACATGTTGGCTGCGAGCGTAGCGTGAAGTAACTAGATATGGTATCAAAGCAGGAAAATAGACCCAAAATAATTACAATTCTGAGCGAGACATCAAAAAAGACGTTCTAAACTTTGTTGAGATCAAAGCGTAGCGAAAGGGAAAGCTTGAATGGCGCGTCGGCCACCGCGACTTCCGAGTCTCAACGACAAACAATAATCCACACAAGTAAAAATTAGTATTCAAGGTGCGCGTTGTATGCGATGGCAAAATCAAGTCTTTCCGCAGTCAACTCAATGGCATAGCTGAATGCACTGGACGTGTGAATTGCATGGATGGGTCTAGCGGGTCGAAATTGAGGAGGTTGGGATGAGTTGTTAGTGGTTTGTTTACTTGGGTGGAGTTCAACTGCCGCAGCGACCGCCTTTCGTGCCGCATGAATCAAATGCTCCACGTCATTGATGTACCGCATTCTACAAACATTCTGATGGGTTAAATAGATTTTTTTTTGAAAGCAATTTCTGGGTATGTCGATTCATTTCGGTAGTAATCTTAAGGTAAGGTAGATGCTGAGGTCCAGGCAGACAGGCAATTCATTACTTAGCCCTATGCAATGCTACCAATACTATCGAATATTGCCTACATATGCGCAGAATGGGGTCATTCTCTCACGCGTTATCTGTTCAACTGATGCCGCCATGTTCAGAGATTCCATGGCGCAACTTCAATTTTGCGGAAGGGGGTCACCAATGACGGACGAGACAAGCTCTAAATATCAATTACTAGCTTCGAGTGACTAACTAATGCTATGTCTAAGGATCTATATACGACCTAAGTACATGGCTAGTCTGTCGGAATGATCCATTAATGGTGCAGCATACCATACATGCCAATAGTTTGCATGGTTATAGATTGACAATCGGAGAGCATGTCATGATTTGAAAAAGAAATTAATGCTATTTTTTTCATCTACATTATAGTATTGTACATTGGTTTGGCAGAACATCCAGTAATACATAAAATTTCAACCCCTGCGCCCAGATCTAAGGAATGGGGGCATAGAAGCTGAACTTGCCCTCCGGGTCATACTTCTGCTTCAATGATCGCAGGCGGTTCTGACGCCACTGCTCGCTGCCGTACAACTGCTCTGGTGTCTCATCTCCATAGGCGTAGTTGACGTACGCGCGCATGTCCTTCCGGCCACTCGCTTCGTGGAGAATGTCGCGAAGCTGGGTGCCCAAGGCACGCGCCTGACGGTCACGGTCTGGGCCGCCAGGCAGGTAGTTGATGAGCGGGGCGACAAGAAGGTGCTCGTTGCGGAAGGCATATGCACTCGAGCGGCTGTTGGTGTTGTGAACGCCCTGGGTAGAGTAGCCCTCGAACTGGAACATTGAATTGTTGAAGACCGAGTTTCCACGGATGGCTGGGGCGAAGATATCCCAGATCTTCTTTTGGGCCTGAGGATCATACGATTCCAGGTAGATGGGGAACCGGGGGTTGGAGTAGCCAGCTTTCTGGCATGGAATGGAGGAGTCGGCAATGCCGGTCCAGGTAGCGAGGTCCTTGTAGGTGCCGCTGTCGTGCACAACGGATAGCGGACCAATATCATGGAAGGGATTGGTGTACTTGGAGTCTACGGTCTTTACTCCTTCCTGGATAATGTAGAAGACGATGACAGGCTAACGAGGTTGAGGTCAGAGTATGACTCAATGCAGTGATTGGTTGATGTACTCACGTTGTTAGGGTCTGCAGTTGCGTTGTTCATCCAGTAGGACCAGTTGATGACACCCTCGGGCTGTGTGCCATTCTTCAAGAGATAGTCATTGGCGGCCTGGTAGACAGCCTCGACCTTATCACCGCTGAAGGTAATAGTCTCAATAGCCCAGTCACGGTGCTCAATATCAAAGATCTTGGTAGTAAGCGAGGTGACAATGCCAAAATTATGGCCTGCTCCCTTCATCGCCCACCAGAGATCTGACTTTTCGTCAATCGTTATGAGGGTTCCGTTGGCAAGAACAACATTCATGGAGAGGAACTGGTCTGAAGCAAGGCCGTGGTGTCCCTGAAGCCAGCCGTGCCCGCCTCCAAGTGCCGGTCCGAGAAGACTGACGCATTCACAGGTTCCGGTCACTGTTTCGAAAAAGTTAGTATCCTGGATAGACTGGATTGAATGTAAGAGACTATAGACTTGCCTGCCTGCTTGTCAACTTTCCACAGCTCATCGGTAACAGTCTTGGAGATGGTTCCACCACCGAACTTGGCAGTTTTCCCATCTTCGGCGACTTCAACGCTACTCAGTTGACTTAAGGAGATCTCAATGCCGTGAGTCATTTGGCCCAGGGTGGTAAGGGCTCCGTGGGCGCCATTGTATGCGAGGAAAGGTAGGTCTTTCTTGTTGGCGAATTTGACCTAAACAATTTTGCGTGGTTAGCAATCAGACTATTGTTACTTTCGGCCTCATCAAGGATTACCGTTTCAGCGACATCGCTCTCGGTGCCGGGAACTACAACGACGGTTACATTGGGCTCAGCCAGTGTAGACCACCGTGCGGATGCGTCGTTGAACTCAGATGAGCCAGGGAAGTACACCTTAGCCGTGCTGGAAAGCTTGGCTCCAAGCTCCTGCAGATCAGCGTCACCCCGCGGGCACAGGCCGTTGGCCCAATCGCGCGTAACAGGCACACTGCGGCAAGCCGAGGTCATTGCCCAGACGGCGACGGCCGTGAAGGCCTCCATCTTGAGTAGATACATGGTGACGAGGGGGGGTTTCTGGAATGCCAGTCAAGAAACTCTCTACTGCCTCACAGCCGAGCAACCCCTGCAAGCGGGCTGCGGCGCTTATGTAGGAGCTACAGGAAACATTGGCGATTAGTTCAGGGGGGTGGAGGGTCGCGGGGCAGCAGCAACGATTTGGTGTAGTTCATATGGAATATTGGGTCTCGGAACTTGAGCCAGGAGTAGCCTAGTTTGCGCTGTTAATTTTTTTCTGACCAAGCAATTATAATTGTTGTATCGTGCGTTGGCGCATATCTAGTACTATATGAAAGTGGGCCTTGTAGTAGTCGGACCCAGTGTCATCGCCCCATTGCGGACCTGAGTTGTCGGAACCCGGAAGCCTTGGGGTCATCGGTCGGGAACTTCTCCAGTGTCAATACGATCCCGTTGTTGCTTTTCCAGTCGCCTCATGTCTGTTAAGAGGGAATTGCCCTTTCATGAGGGCATGGGGCAGGGGGCATGGGGAATGAGAAATGATAAAACGAGGAAACGAGGAAAGGTCTGCACAAATTTGCTTGGCCTGATTAAATTTCTTCAGTCAACTCGTAATTCATCCTTCGGCCGGACCGGTGCAACGGTAATTGATTATAATTGATTAATATGGAGCATCGTCCAGGTGGACACACTATAGTGGGATCGGGCGATTGGCTCATGCGCTCACGACCAACCCTAGCGCTCCTCTAGTATAGAATCCATTCGTTTGCAATTTCTCCTCGGCTAGAATAGATTAATGGTGTTATGAGGGTTGAAGAAAGGAAACAAGAGCAAGACCTTTCTGGTCGCTGGCGTTAGGGAAACGCTAATATCGCTCTCCATTTACGTTCCAAACCTGCTGTTGACAAATGTCGACCAGGATCGCCTTGGGATAAGAAGCGCCGCTTGCTGCGCAAGATGCTCAGTCCTGCTGTGGTGGAGTTATGGACGCTATATTCTTTTGGAGTGGCCATAACGCTGCTTAGAACATATGCTCGATGCAGGGCCGTGGGATGGAAGCAATTCGCGGCCGACGACTACTTGGTATGGGTCGGAATTGTGCGTATTCTCCCAATTGACCGTATCATACCTTCAACCAATGCTAATTTGCTGAAAGGTATTCTACACCGCGCAAACGGCTCTTGCATATAGTGTTAGCAGTGAGGCCCATGGCCTGGCGAACAGTGGAATGACAGACCAAGAGCGAGAAGCGCTTTCTATTGCTAGTCCAGAATACCATCAAAGGTGCGTCGCCTCCGTTGACAAGCATAAAGCACCGTGGAAGCTAATACCAAGGCGATGGTAGAGTGATTGGCTCAAAAATCCAGGTTGCGGGCTGGGCTACTTATACGGCATTGATTGCGTCCCTGAAGCTGTCCATGATGGCCTTCTACGTCCGACTCACGGTATGAACTCCAATATTGACCGCGGCATTTTCACGCCCAGTCACTGATATCCCACAGAATGGCCTTGGTCACCGCTATCGCATTCCAGTTTGGATTGGATTTGCGCTTGTTATTGGGTCATTCGTGGCGAGCATCATCGTCATTCTTGCAGCCTGCCGACCATTCCACAATTACTGGCAGATCTACCCAGATCCTGGAAGCAAGTATCCCTCTCCCTTGATGCCTGACGCCCTTCTAACCGGAAGTCTATTACCTTTAGATATCTGTCAGCCCGCTATTTCCGAGGCGATCGTCTGGGTCACCTTTATCGCTAACATTATCACCGATCCCTACCTCATCTTCATACCAATTCCCATGCTCTGGAAATCTAGCTTGAAGCTCATCAAGAAAATTGCGACGACCATTGTGCTGGGCGCCGGTGTGTTTGTCCTCGTCTGCGCCACTCTCAAGAGCGTCTTCCTCATCACGGTACGACTAAACAGCTTCCCTCCAAGTAGAGCCATTTCTAACGTACATCACCAGGAACCGCTCAATGGCGCCGAGATTGCCAATTCATGGGGCACGCGCGAGACCTTCGTCGCGGTCGTCACAACCAACCTTCCAATGATTTTCCACCTCTTCAGATCCTGGCTCACAGTACTCTTCGGAAGCGCCTTCCAATCAACTGAGAAGACCTCGTACAAGTCACCCTGTATCGGCGGCAGCGAATTCACTAGTCGCAACTATCGGGGTCGGCGCGGACCCCCTAGCGTGAACCCCATCACCAACATGACATTCAGCGAGAGCAAGGAACGGATAGTTGAGGAGGTCAAGATGCAGAACATGAACATTTACTCGGAGCCTGTGGCCGACAGCGCCACATTCAAAGGCATAGTGATCTCCAAACAGATTGAGGTCACCCATGAGACTAGAAGTAGCCACGGTCGATATCCAAAGTGTTAACTGAAATAGATCTCATTCTAGCCACCATCAACCTTGATAACTGTAGAGTTGGGGACGTTTTATACCGTACAGAGAGTAGCAAGATTTTCAAGCCTGCTCTTCTGTGACACACTACGGCTTTCATCGCAAACTGAGACAGTGAGTGTGTTGTCGTACGAGGAGGCTCGATATAAATACCGAAGAAATATTTTTGCGAAATATGCCATTAAACGTATGGTGGGTTGCTCTCCAAGACCTGTGCAATCGATTTCGCGTCAGCATCATAAGCATCATGCATAATCTGACCCAAACCTGGCTTTAATGTGGACAAAGAGAGATGCGAGCAGACATCGAGCCACTGAATTAGGAAGGTAGCAGGCCGAAAATTCATTTCTAGTCGGTCGGACTCTACTCCGCAAACCAAACGTCCGATTTACCGTTAACTAGCGTTGAAAGTAATATGTTCAATAAATTCATACAAAGCACTCTTTATATACATACAGAGGTTTGCATAAAGCCATATACATGCCACCCGAACGCCATGCTAGCGAGGTGAAACCAAGCTTCAATATGAAATAAACAGAACAGAGAATTCGCTATTAATAACAGCCAATTGGCCACACAGTGGGGAATCTAAAACGTCGTAAGCTCGTAATGGTCTAAGCACGCCAGAGACGGTGGAGAAGATGCCAAGGAACAATAGGCATACGACATCAACTGAGTAGGGATGCGGACAGAGAAATTAAGGACTAAGAATCGCGATGAGTGCCTTGGCTTTCTGATGAGCGATGCTCTTCGCGGTGGGGATTTGTGGGTGTAGTAGGCGTGTTGTTCACAGGGCTGGCAAGCTCGATTTGGATTGTAGGCAGAGGAGTGAGCTCCCGCAGCTGTGGCGGATGGTCACCTCGCTCTGCGGTTGGACTTTCATACGGAGGCGCCTCTCCCCAGTCCAACTGTTCATAGTCCGGAGGGGGGATATGAAGGGCCCCCAAATCGCCTTCGCCAGAACTCGGGATCATGGAGTGGGTGGAAGCAGCGTGCGATTGGACCGGGGTCAAGCTATCTTGTTCAGAGACTCCAGTGTCTGCGGAATGAGCGGACGAGTACGATTCACCTCGTGAATGTACATTCGTCAGACTCGACGTGGATGAACGGTTGGCGGTTTCCGTGCTCATCGTATCGACGTTCGACAGTAGAGGGCGAGAATCCGTATCAGGCTCATCAGGCGAAGTATTGCGCATACGCGTTCCATCATGTCGCACGTAGCCCAATGCTGCATAGCTGACACTGGAAATACGCCTCTCCCGGCCGCGACTCCGAGCCTCGGCTAGAGTCAATGCAGAGGAAAAGTTAGTGTTGCTCCCGTTGGCAGAAGAGCGACCTTGGGCTCGAGCACGACTCTCTTGGCGAAGCTGCTCGAGACGGATATAATCCCCACGAGCACGGGCCTCACGACGCTCCTCTCGCCTGGCCTCCCGCTCTGCTATCTCCTGTCTCCGCTGCTGGCGGATTTGGTACAGGGATTCCATCAGTTCCTCCCTGCGGGCTTCTTCTTCGTCGGCAGTCTCGGGAAATTCCACGACGACATCCATGCCACCCCGCTCTCCTTCCCGGGCAATGACCTGCTCTGACGGTTTCGGACTCGACGAATAGGCGGGGAGGGTCATGACGGAGCGAACTGACGTTTCACGGCGAACCGCGCTATTGGTGTTCATTTCTGATCCTCGTTCTGCAGACCCGGTGTTTGCGCCAGCTTCAGCTCGATTGGATGACGCTCCATCATTCGGAACTTGACCGTACGACGCTCCAGCTTGCCAGCGATTCCATCGATCTTTCAAAGACTTCCCGGGTATGTATTTTGGACGACAGTTCATCCGACGGAGGGTGCGCAGGGTAAAATAGGCCATTAGAATGACGGCTAATGCGAAGACGATGGCCGCAGCGACCTGTCAAGATGAGTTATCAGCTAGGTCTGAAAACGGAAGGGATACCGATTACTGAATCATCTGAAGATGCACCTACGATGATAAATATATTATTCCGGTGAGATGTCTCCGATCGAGCTTCATGATTGTTGTCCGCGCCCGGCGGTCCACTCTGCCGGGCGACAAGCCGTCCATATTGAGATGGGAGATACATTCTCCGCAATCCTCAGGAGGGAGCAAAACAAAGGATCCAGTGAATTCTCAGCTATTCGACATGCGGAATGTGACGACAAGGACGGTTCATGGTCGGGGGTTTGCAAAGGTAAGATGAAAAGAATGTTCTCCGTGGGTTAGGCAAACCAGCGGAATGGGCGGATGGCTGGGCAGGGCTGAGCCAGTCTCGGCGATGATATGAGAGATGACAGGCGCCAAAGTAACGCTAGCGTGCAATCACCATCCGTTACACCAGATCAGCGTTGGGTTTATATACAAGGAAGACAAACAGGATGAGATCATTCATCACGAAGAGGGTAGTTGAGCAGAAAATCCATGGCAAAAAGTTGAAGACGGGGACGTAAGGAGTGGAGTCCCAGTCTTCTCATTATCATTACGGAGTGCTACTACTGGCTTCGAATATTTGGTAGGCTGGCAAGTGGATCGGTATCATTCGTATTGTTCTGGTATCAATATTTTTAGATTGTAATTTACGGAACTCTGAAAGCTTACTTATCTAATCCTCATTGGGGCACAGTCGCAACATAAAGATCAAGATCTGATCCATCATCCCATGTTGTATACTAGCATAGCCTCATCAGGCTTAACATGAAAGCCTACGAATTATGTAAACTTAGAGGAGTAAAGGTGTGTACAATGGTTCATCGATATCCTGGACTTCTCGACAACCTCGTCAAACGGCCCGTGCGCGTCTTATCAGCTACGTACTATATCCGCTACAAGAGTTACATACATACTCCGTAGTCACATACATCTGGCGTAAGTGAAGCCATTGAGCCCCTTAATACCTTGCGACCCCACTCATATGCTACAGGAACACATATAATCCAATCATTATACTTTGAAAGCCAGGATACTCTTGGCTGAAGTCGGCCGGCTCCTTTATCTGCCAACTCGGAAGGGGTGCAAATAGTTTACAATCCATTTCTCGTCCAGGTCATGTTTAGTTTAGAGTATTTGGTATTTTGAAGATCAAGTATACTCCTAATGGACTGTAAATGTAATCCTAAGGAGGACACATCGGCATTTTCACGTGACCTTGACGAATTGAGTATAAGCCAACATATAAATAGCCGGGCTCGTTGGCTCTTAGGTTTGACTGCTGAACACGAACTATTGTCCTCCTACTCAAGGCTGTAGCTGTTTCTACTGACAACGACATCTGCACCGTATTCAGAAATTGGAACTCACGTCTATCGCGGACTAATGTTTCCCAGTGTGGTATTTTGCCTGACCATGGGTCACGGCGTTGACAATACTATCAGATAGAAAACTGTACCGAGACCAACCAGGAAGGTCACAAAGATCGGTATTTACTATAGCCGACATAGCTCGAATAATCATTCGGATGTTCAGCTGCTCAGCTGCTTCACAGTCCATGACAGTACTTCTTCTCATGGCTGCTTGGGTCTGTTAGATCAACTTTCGTGTGTAAACGTAACCACAGCAGACAGATGCGTAGCTTTGAGACTGTTCTTGCATCATCACTGAACTGTACGTCGATCAACCCTATAAGTGTAACAGTTCCATGGTTACTTGTAGGTGGATTATAGAATTTAAGTCCTTCAGGGGCTCGTACTAATTGCATGCTGATCTCCTGTAGTGCTCATGTCTTCTTTGCATTATTTCCCTTATATTGTGAGCGTGTTTGCCAACCATTTCGCACTATCTATGTTCTTCTGGGAAACAGCAATTGGCGTCGGTAAGACGCACCACGGTTTCATTGAAGCTGATGTTGGGTAACTTAATATGATCGTGAATTCTACGTATGAACCGAGATATCGCATATCACATTCAGTGCTATAGTCGATCTGTGAACTCACTTGGAACATTCTGATTTCCGGGCCAAAACTGCTCTCTTGCCGCATCTATTAATTTCCACCGTTTCCTATCGACTTGGATCCGTCTATGGGATTTAACTATTGCCGGCCACATAGCCATGAAACTTCCCTAATATTCAGAGCATTAACTTTCTCAAGTGCATCTGAGCCTCATGCATCTCCTAGCGCACTCCATGAGTCCCTAGAACTGACATTTCATTTTGTTTGATATTACCTTCTGAAGCTTGGGCTTTGAATCGGGCTTTCGTTTAGGGTTGTGTAATCTTTGCTGGGTTTGTCTTCTGTCTGTATGATACTATTCAGATTTAAGCCTACACCATCTGCCTATTCACTAATTAACCCGATCACTCCTACGATAGATTAGTATGGGAGATTCATAGCTTAGTGACTGTCGTCTTTTGCATACAGGCTAATCGGTAGCAAAGGCACCCCGTTTACTGTCAGCATCCCGTTGGAGCACCTCAGCACCTTCCTCTTTCGTCCTATAGCTCACTATAGCTCAGGTATAAATACTTTCCTGCCCCTGTTCTTCTCCCTTTTCTTATCCTGCTCCTTAACCTCTCCCATCTCAACAGCCTCCTGTCGTCGTCCTCCTTCTCCTCATCAATAACAACGCAATTCATCCAGATTGGCTGATGAGCACCCCCTCTCATCCTCATCCTCCTTCTCGACCACAACGACATTCATACTGGCCTACCTGAGTAGCCTCATCAATCCCTATCATCTTATTCTTACTCCGATCCTATCCTTATCCTTCTACTATTCTTACCGTTCTACTATTTTTATCCTTCTGTTCTCCTTATTTCCTTATTCTTATCCTCCTCTTCTGTTCTGATTCTCTTCTTTTGTTCTTATTTTTATCCTTTTATTTTTATTCTCCTCCTATTCTTATAGAATTCTTGTCTTTTTCTCCTTCTTGCCACACCTATCATTTTGTGTACCTCTTTCTTTGTCCTCTTGTTTCCTTTCAACCTCTCCGTCTAGCAACCTCCTGCTCTTTCTTTCTGCTATTGCTTTTATACTGTACATAGCTTAGATAGCTCCTCGCACAACTACATGCCTAAACTCATAGGAGGGTTGCGAGGCCCTCCCATCAACCCTCCTGGTAGTACCAGGTACTTGGAGGGGGGAGCTCCCGTCGAATCCTATTAAGAGTGACAGCGTGCAAGTTTAGTGTAGCAAAGAGGAGGCTGGTTGTTGGGGAAGGAGCTTGTATATATAGTATGGCCTTGAAGATGTCCATTTTTGAGAGCATGTACATAGTCACTAGAAGTGATTTGCTTAGAATAGCCACTCCGGTCTGTTTCTTTTATTTTGACACCAGATATTGGTTTCGAGCTTTTACAACAAGTAGATATGTTGGCTCAGAGGGTCATCTGTCCATGCAGTAGTACATGAAGCTATACGGCCATACTCATCCAGATACTCATAACCTACCGGTCTATCTAGATCCCTGAAACCTTGCAATACGTTGGCCAAGTAATGAGCATGTTGATATTGTGTGAAAATATCATACAGGGAGCGCCGAATACGGGACTCATATTAAGGACTATAGAAGCCCAAGTGTCTACTCTCTCAAAAGGGTTTGTGACATCATTAATATCTCCTCACTCCCCTTAAAGCTATGCTCTTCCGATGAATTTTCAGCAACTACAAAGACTCCTCAACATCGTATACACTGTTTAGCTTTTTCTAAATCTAGTAAAGCCAGTTTAAAGCTTCTCACATGACATGACAAGGCACGTCTGCCCGGCTCACTAACCATATAGAATACTAGCCTAGCATTTCACATTAAATTAGAACAGTCACCCAAGCGAATTGCTCAATACTGTAGATTAACCAAGTATTAAACAAGCGACTGGACAAGCCAGTGCAGATGTAGGTATCCATTCATCTCCTTGTCTTTGCCATATCTCTCCCTCCTAGCTGTACGAACTACCTTACTAACCTCTTCTTCTTTCATAAACGATAGACTGACCGGCCAACACATTCTTGCTCGTTACATATGCTTCTGTAAAAATTAGCAAATAACAATGTCTATATGCGAATGGCTAGATGTAATTAATTGGAACTATTACCCGGCATCAAGCCAATGCCTGGAACAATCGGGCGGCCTACGGGCCTGTCTGATACATTCGGTAAACCTATATATTTTTTACGATGTGTCTCTATTATATGAGCAAATGGCCTTTTAGTGCCTGTTTTAAACAGGTGGCGGTAGCCAACATGGTTCGTGTGAGTAACAACTCCTCTCATTTTTCGCTGATTTTGAAGCATTTGACTGGATGGGTTTCCAGGCTTTGAGGTTATCTGCCTCTCGGCCTTGCACTGTTCCTTTCAAGCTCCCTTGACAGAATAGTGATTATGTTCTGAAAGATTCCCCCCACTTCCTCAAAATTGTTTCGCTACTTGAAAGTTCTATATTGAATAAATGCTGATGTTTGACAGATATAGTGCTGTTACTGTGATTGTCCAGGCCACAGTTCAAGTAACATGTCGCCAACGGCGGCAATCCATTTCCTGGGGACTAAACATCCTTATAGAGTCACTCGTAAGTTTGTATATTATATATCACTTGTATCCATGGTACTAACATTTTCTTCAGGGCGAGGTTAGACATTCAACCATGTATTATACTTAGAGTGAATGCTGATTATTTAGGCCGCGGCCCTCCCCCTCGCGCCGGCGCCGGTGGTGATGCTCCGGAGGCTGTTCTAGCACCACGAGGGAATTGATGCTGGTTTGGAAGAACTAAGACTGAGGTAGCGTTCTGTTTTCTCTCTCTCTTTTTTTTTTTGAATCTTTTTCAAAGGTTTTCCAGAATGTCTCTCTCTCTGTGTGTGTGTGGGGGGGGTGTTTTCTTTTCTTTTTCTTTCTCTTTTTCTAAAATATATATATATATATGTTTTTACTCAAATTGAGAGATTTTCTAATAAAAAAACATAAAATCCGTATACTTAGTGGCACAGCGAAGCGAAGCTAGCAATATATACGGTAGCCTGGGTAGTGATTTAGGCAGTGCAATCGATTCAGACCATCTAGGTAATCTAGATAGTGTAAGGAATCTAGGTAGGTACTTTAATTGATTTAGATAATCTCAGTAATTATGTGATTCCTCCACTGCGCAAGTATTCTGCCAGCCTGGCCAAGTCTTTGAGCGGGCAGTCTCTACTAGAAAGGACAGTGCTTGGGGGATCCATTCTAGCTGATTATAAAGTGTACGTCCTACAGTACTAGTAGTAAGTATGGTACAAATCTGCTATGGTGTTATTAGCAGTCAAATACACGCTTACCCAGAAACATGGATGGATAAATGCTGCGGCAATTGTCCAATCAATAAAAGGCTCTCAGACATTTGGAATCAGGACGACTTCAAGACCAGAACTTATTTTCAAGCCGTTCTACCAGAAAGCCCCACCTGCGCGAATTCACCCGAGCTGCGGAGGGCACATTGACCACGTAATAGGGCATATTGGGATTCTAGCCTGTTCAGTATGGGGCATGGCATGATTTGCTGTGGGATAAGTTTGTTGGCCCATCTTTCATTTTTACGGGAAGCCCGCTGAGGATTCCGGAGATACAGAACTTAATTTCATAGGCGACGCGAGAATGTCCAGGCGTTGTGGATCTGCGAGAGCATTCGGTGATCGTTAAACTGCCTTTGGATATTGCAATTCTCATCGTCGATCAGATCTATGGCACTCGTCCGTGTTCATGGGAAAATAGTGAGAGATACGCGCAATTTACTGGAGGCTTTTCAATGGAAGTTGCCCGATGTATACTGGAGAACGCGGTGCGACTATCGGTTGGTGTTTAAGATGGACAACCTGATCAGGGAGAAGCGCCCTGTCAATTGGAGAGGATTCTGTCTTGGACTGGAGGAACTTCTATTGGATAAGAATTGATTCTGCAACAGCAATAGAGAATTCGGCAACGAACTTTTGACATCGCTCGGAGGTATCAAGGAGCGCTTTTTAGACATGATTAACCAGACTTAATGAGGTTCTCCTATCTATTTAAGTACTATATCCTCTTATCGTTTATCAATGCTTGCAGATGAGGCCGTTTCGCCAGCGTTTTATATGGCCCACTTTCAACAACACGCCCATGCTCCAGAACAACCACATTATCCGCAATCTCCATCATTTCCTTTGCGTGGGTGATGATAGCCACCGTCAGGCCTGCCTGTGACATCACTAGCTTCTGCACAGTATGTCGAATGATTTCGGCGCTGGCCGGATCAAGGGCTGATGTAGCTTCATCCAAAATTAGAATCCGAGGGCGACGGACAAGTGCCCGCGCAATCACCACTCGCTGCGCCTGCCCGCCGGATAACCCAACTCCGCCATCTCCAATAACGGTAGAGTAGCCTTGCGGAAGGGATGATACAAACTCATCAATCCCCGCTGCCTTTGCTGCATCGCGGACGTTGCGAGGATCCCGAAGAGGCCCTTCCAGCCCATAACTAATATTGGCTTCGATGGTCCCCGGGAATATCGTCGGTTGCTGTGAGACAATCGCCACAACGGAGCGAAGCGTTGGAGTGTGTAATTTGCGTATATCAACACCGCCAAGTGAAATAGCTGGTACACTATCGGAAGCGGGCGATTCGTACAGAGCTAGTAACAGGGAGGCTATGGTCGATTTACCACATCCAGACCGGCCTACAATTGCTGTACATGAGTTCTCGGGGATGGTGAAGGAAACGTCTTTCAAGACGGGCGCATTAGGCCGAGATGGGTACCGGAAGTTCAACCTGGTAAGCTTTACCGGTGTTGGCGTTGCGCGCATGCATCCCACTCGCTCGTGTGAAGCTCTGGCAAGATTTGCAATCTGCAAGAGTCTAGACCCTCTCTCGCGTGATGCACTGATTTGTGGGACTGGAAAGTCAGCGAAGTCTATCAAGTAGATGAGAATACTCACTCCAAGAAAGTACTACACTTGCATATCCGATGCTGAATAACAGCATCGAGAGGACTGTCATGATATCCTCCACAGTGTATTCTAGAACCGACACTAGAAGCCCCCCGTAGTAGATAATCAATGCGCTCACGAAGACGATAACAGACTCGACCAGCCCAAAGAGAAACCCTGTATAACCCGCCTTCCGCAGTCCCGTTGTGAGACATTTCAACAAAGCAGTCGTATGCTTGCCCTGAAAGAACGGTTCTAGTGTCAGGGTACGTACTGTGCGTATCTCCGAGAACGTCTCAGCAAATACCTCCGACGCTGCACCCCTAGCCTCGTTACAGCGTCTATCCCACAATCCGCTAATTCGTTCAAAACCTCTTGTGATTGCGTATACCACAGGTCCAATGGAAAGCGCAACTAGAGTCAGCTTCCAGCAAACAGCAAGGCTCCATACAGTCGCTATCACGGTGATCGAAGCTGCAACCAAAGCGTAGCCACCGAAGCGGCTAAGTATCTCTCGCATTTCTTCACCATCTCGGGTCAGGCAAGCGGTCAGCTGTGACGGGCTGTTTCCCTCCTCCTCGAACCATTGCTTCGGCTGATCGAGAACTCGGCGGAAGGCTCTTTTTCGGAGACAATCCACCCAAGCTTGGCTACAAAGACTGAGAAGATAATGCATGAAGAAGGACACCATTCCATCCGATATCGAGACCCCCAAAACGGCCAGGGCCCATTTCAGAGCGCTCGTCTTGTTAAAGAATGTTACTTGGAGTTTCGATAAGAAGTAAGCGAATATAGGGGTGGTGCTCGAGTGGCAAAGAGTGAACAGAACCCCAAGGAGCAGAAGAACACGTTGCCCGACGGTCAAATTAGGTATGATCGTGAGCATTATCTGGAACAGAGACATTTGTCGGTCCTTTCCTTTGCTTGATTTTTGATGAGTTGACTTCCATTCAGCAAAATCAACTAGCTGCATTCCATCTTGCAAGGTGTCTTGCGGTGTGGGCACGATTGAAAGTCGGGATCTTGGTTGGAATTTTCCAGTATGAAATGACTCGGGTCTGAGGCCCATAAGCACGGAGGATATACATCGGTTTTTGTCAAGCTCAGCCGAATTATTTGAGAGTATGCTGTCGCCGGAATCACATGGATAGCTTTCCTCATTAAAATGAAAGAAATCATTCCCTAGTTTCTCAATCTCATATCTATACCCAGCCTGTACCACTGATCCTTGATCCAGGACATACACAAAATCTCTGTCCGAGATATGGGACATGTCGTGTGTGATGATGATGGTTGTTTTCCCTTTACGCCACTCCCGGATTGCTCGGATCACCTCATGACGATTCGTCCCATCTAGAGCGCTTGTAGGCTCATCCATGATCAAGACCGGTGTGTTTCTTAATCTAGCCCGGGCGATTGCAACCCTTTGTCTCTGGCCGCCACTTAGAAAACTACCGCCATAACCCACACACGTGTCGATACCGTTCGGCATGTGGTCGATTACGCTTTGCAGCATCGCCAGGTCAATGCATTCCTGAACGTCTTCTTTTCGGATCCGGTCATAGTCGTGCCGTCCAAATGCAATGTTCATGAATATCGATTCGTTGAAGAGATTGCTCCGTTGTTCTACCAGGGTGAAATTGTTTCGGATCCAGTTCTTGCTCAAAGTTTGTATGGGTGTGCCGTCTATGAGAATTTCACCAGAGGTTGGCGAGTATATCCGGGTGAGTAGTTGCCCTAGGGTACTTTTCCCAGATCCACTCTTTCCTACGACGAAAGTTGTCTCCCCCGCTGGGAAGAAGAAGCTTGCCGAGTTCAGACTGAGCCTCTCAGGCTGAGACAAATATGCGAAAGACAACTAAGACAGTTGGAATTGTTTTCATGAACATTCAGGGTTTTGAAAGACTTACATCGCTCACTTCAATATCGCCATCGCAATGATGGGGATATACTGCTCCCTCCATCTCTTTCGGGCCGCCGTTCCTGGTCTGCCTGTTCAAGGTCCTTTTTAATGCAGAAGCTGCAACCGCACCTTTATCTAGTACGATTACTTGAGTCATAATAAATTCGATGGACTGTGCTGCGGTGAGACAAGCCCAGAATGTCCTCAAAACGTCACCGGGCGAGAGCCGCCCAGACGATGCCAAAGAGCTGCCGTACCAGAAACCTTGAACAAACATGCCGTACGTCATCAATCGAATGAGGGCTATCTGAATGGAGTTCAACCGCGCCTGTTTCAAAAACTGCGACGCAGCCTCGTCAATCCTGCTCGAGAAATTGTAAAGTTCAAAGGCTTCCCCGTTCAGGCACTTGACTGTATCAATCGAAGTGGTGGTGCTGTTGACAACCTTCGAAGCGCTTGCCAACTCAGCCTGCTGTGCTTCAATATTGAACTTCATCTTAGAAGAGATAAATGAAGCCATAGCAGAGAAGACCGGGATCCCTGCTAGCGTGACCAGAGAAAGGTTCCAGGAGGTGTAGAACGCCAGAGCCAGCGAGCCAATGGCTCGGAAGCTATACTGCAGTAGCAGTCCCAAAGGCTGGGACGTTGATTTCTGCAGCTCGTAGATATGGCTACGAGAGGTTAGATAAATACAAAAGCGACCCGGGGTATGACTGACGCTTGAAGACAGGATAAGAATGCTCGGGTTCCATCTTTTTGTGTTTCGAACCATTCCTGGTCTTTCTGCAAAAGTCCTTTGAAGAGGGTGCCGCGTGCATTAGCGACTTGGAGCTCTCCGAAGGTCACAAAAAGAATGAAATAGATGCTGTTGCAGAGCCAGCTATAAACACCTAAGCATGCCAGTTTGATACAGCTTGTTTTTGTCTTTTGAATTAGTTCCTGGGCAGAGATTTGAGCACTACCGAACAATGCCAAAGAGTTGAATGCCTCCCCAAGGAGTGTTGCAAACATGGGAGAACTAGCACTAGCTAATGATGCGAAAAGAATGGCGAAGCAAAGTGTTGGGATGTGTTTTCTAGTAGTGAAGCTGAAGAGCGCCAGCCAACTCGGCCTCCAGCCCAAGCAGCGTTTGAATTGAAGGATACCTGTCATGGTGTCTGTCAATATTCCATGGCTCTAGGAGCATATCCTTCAGCGTCTTGAGTCGGGCGGATCTTGAACAGGAATACCGGTGGAGGGCTTCATAAGCCAACACATAAATTGAGAGAAATGGACCAGCATCTAGAGCCATTGTATCAACTTGACTTGAATATTCTTTTGTTCTGAGTTGGAGGAGGTTGTGGAGAAGTAAGATAATGGGTTGCGCGCTGCCATTGTTCTAGGCGGTTCTCAATGGTCCCGTGCCCGTCAACACAATTGTACCAAACTACAACCGCTCGTATGTAATGTATGTACACTTTTGCTTTCAGAAGAAGAAAATTCTATAATAGCCCAGGGTAACCATCTATCAGATGTCAAAGCCATCTGGACCGCGCTCCGGCCCTACGCCCAGAGACGCTGTAGAGTCTACAAATTGAGTAGATAGCAACTCCACAGACTCCATGTTTGATGGAAGTCAGTCACTGGTGGTGGTCCGAGGAGTAAACCCTCCGCGGGTTTTGGCGAACATAAAATAGTAACACTGGGCTTACGAGCTGGACTTGCCCTGAGCCTTCTCATAGATCCAGTCATTAAGACCGGCACGGTTTCTGTAATTGTCAGTAATATGCTTGACAGTCCAAAGTTTTCGGCGCTCACCTGGCGATTTCAACAGCATAGAACTGCATGCGCACGGCTGTTTCTTTGTTAGCTCTGCGTTTGCCCGATGGCACGCTAACAAAGACGGGGGAACTTACCAAAGATCGTAGTCTCTTGGTCGTATTCAAACTTGGGGTTCGAGCGCAGCATAGTGCCAAAGTTGTAGTCGTCAATCGTTTTCTCGTACTGCTTCATCCAGTTACGCCACTTCTCCTTGCCCTCCTTGCTCTTCATTTTCGCCTCGTTGAGGGTCTCGGCGGGATCGAATTCGGGAAATTCTTTCATGAAGCTCTCAAGAATTTGGTCATCCATCTTTGTCAACCGAAGCTTCGACCCTGGGACCTTCTCGAGAATCGACCAATAGGTCATCAAATGTTCGACGGCTGTGGGACGTAAGCATAAGGAGTGGAGGTGAAAGGATGGGTTTACAACGTACCCTTAACTGCGAACTGCTTCTCCATCTACAAAAAAAAATGGTCAGCATCCAATCCTAGATCTCGAAAAGACTAGGCGCAAGGGAACGTACATCCTCAAAGTTCTCGGCCGTCTCGGGATCAAATTTCTTCGACATGTTGGGCGAGTATGATAGATAACCAAATGGAAAGAAAAATGAATATAGAAGTAAGCGATCTTTTGTGTATCAACGATGTTTCGTGGAGGTTTGTAGAATAGTTGGTCAAATATTACCCCGCGAAATCTTTTCTGCCGGCGGAAAATAAATTTGTCCCGCTATCCCGCCGCAAGGGGCTTTATCGGTACGTCATTTAATCCATTTTCTGTACTTATACTCATGAACGAGGTCTTCACCGATCGCGACTTAATCGATACTCTATGAAGGCAATGTAATTATCTCATAATCTGCCATTCTTTCTTCTCATTTCCTGAAATTGGTATATGTCTACTTACTAAGATGTGTGAAGTTTTAACTAGGTATAAAAATACATAGCTTACTAATCAGCACAATTAGTTACATGAGCAATATCAAGGTAGACTAGCACTTCTATCACATATTCACTAAAATGGGCTAAACAAGTAATAGTCAAGAAAACTATGGCAAACAAATGAAGTCATCAAGAGATCCAGATATGGATGTTTCTCTCTAACAAAGCAGTATGTCCCTTTTATACATGTAACACTATAATTTTGCTACAAATGCCAGTTCTCTCTGTTAAGGGCAATGGCGAAGTATATGTTTACAAGAGAAACGCAAAACCTTGGGAGATCTACCAGCAACATCGAAGACTTGGGGGAAGTTCAATACATGATTGTACTGCAAGACATTGTCAATAATCTCGTTAGAATCACAAACTAATAAAATGGTCATGTACAGGAGGCAAAAGCAAGAGTACTCGTAAGCTGCACCATTGCCCCTGCCCTTTACATAAGCTCATCAAGTATCTCATAGGCTGTATCAAATTTTGATATAATCAATCGGAGTCTGACACGGTCATAGAGCTTAAAAGCTTTACCACATCGGTCTCTCCTGCCTTAGCGGCTAGGTCTCGTGCTGTCTGTCCGCTGTCGTCTTTATCATCTGCTGAGGCTCCGTGACCAAGAAGGAAATACACGTCGTTTCTGAGCCCGGCCTTGGCCGCCATATGAAGCGCAGTCTGTCCGAACATGTCCCTAGCAAAGACGTCTGCATTCCTATTCACGAGTAGTCTCATTGCATGGCCCTTGGAAGATACTGCCCTATGCAGAGCCGTTCGCCCATAGTCGTCCTGCAGGTCAACATCCGCTCCACTTTGGATCAGAAAGTCCACCATTTTGCGGTGGCCACGCTCGGCAGCCTTGTGCAGGGGGGTCTCTCCAGAATAATTTGCCACATTGATATCCATTATGCTCTCTAGTAGTAAGGCTACCATGCTTCTGGAAATCCCGGATGCTGCAATATGGAGAGGTGTATCGCCATGGTCGTCTTGTGCGTCAGGTTCAGCGCCACTCGAGAGTAGTAATTCTGCAATACTATCATGCTCATATTGCACGGCATGATGCAAGGGTGTCTTGCCCGCTTTATCCAGCTCATTCACTTCTGCACCCATATTCAGGAAGAGAGTAGCCAATTCAGCATCACCGTTCTTGGCCGCCATATGTAAGCATGTTTGACCGGACTTATCCTTCACATTGACATCTGCACCTTTCTTCAGTAAAAGCTGCAGCATCGTCATCATACTGCGTTTGCTTCTATCGTACATGACTAGTGTTAGCACCAATGGCAGGCCAAGCTCCCCGGAAGGTGTGTTCTTATCCGCGCCTTTTCTCACCAAATACCTGACCACCTCAATATGTCCTTGGCGCACAGCCTGATACAACGGTGTACCATGCGGTCCTTGCGTTTCACTGTCGATAAGAGGATGCGCTTCCAAGTTGGCACTTTGTCGCACTAGCAATTGCACAACTGGCAAATGTCCATTTCGAGCAGCCCACCATAAGGGCGTACGGCCAGCAGCATCTGCATCATCGACATTGACTCTACCCGAGCCAAGGAGCAACATGACAACTTCAACATGGCCTTTATCCGCAGCCCAGAGCAACGGTGTCCGGCCATTGGCATCTTTGATTCCAGGGTCGGCGTTCCTCTTCAGCAACAACGCCATTATCGTCGGCTTTCCCTTCTCGGCAGCCCAGTACAATGGCGTATTACCATTCAAATCGGGGATATTGGGATCAACTTCACTGCGGGCCAGGAGTTGGCTAACCACTCCTTCATGTCCGTTTTTAACTGCCCAGCAAAGAGGAGTCTGGCCAAGCTTGGTATCCCTCGCGTTAACGTCCACATTTCCGCTCGCCATCAAGAGCTGAACTACTTTCTCATGACCCTCTTCTGCGGCCCAAGAAAGCGCACTTCGGCCATCTTCATCCTTACAATCCAGTGCCACACCAGGGGTGCCGAGCAACAGTTGCACGATCGACTCATACCCCTTACTAGCAGCCAGAAACAGCGCAACCTCGAATTTGCTCTTGGGCCCGGGATTTTCAGATGCCATATTATGATAAGATCAAGTTAGATTAGTTTCCAGCCCATCGGGAGGACTCAAACGATTTCTATTTCAGGTATGGTCGTAGAAGGGTGTCAGAAAGCTATGTCATTTTTGCTACCCACGGGATGTGCTATGGATTTTTTTTTTTTTCCTTTTCGATCACAATCTTTGTGAGCTAGCAGAGGGGCAAAACTTATTACATTAATTCAGGCTTCTATGACACGTGGGTCGCGTTCACTGGCTCTTCAGGGTGTCCACTTGAGACGAGGTTCCTTGTCTTGTCGGGTCTTTGGGCACCCCGGTTCCGTTTCGTATGATGTGCATGAGTTTGGACTCTTGGTGGGGAATCGTGGCAACTCATCTGTTCATGTCGAGAATTGTATGATGCTTGAGTAATCCAAGTTTGTATATGGTAGTTCTCTGGTTTCAATCTTCACATCTGTACATAAAGAAGAGCGTACTTACCTTCCTCGTGTATCGATGTACTAATTCTGGTGGGAAAGACTGCAGATCTCCCTCTCAACCATTGGGCATGAACCACAGGTATACCCGAAGCTTCATTAGTTTCAGCCTTAACACGAAACGAAGAAAACTCTATATTGGTACACTTTGCTTTAGACCATTTCGTGAAAATCATTTTTAAAGTTTCAATTACATATTTAAACGGGATGAGCCCTGGCTTGTCCAAAGCTGGATCACTGAGGGATATTGTAGCCATTTTTCGATTGATTGTCCAGGGTTAGGTGCGGGCGATTGAGAAAAGAGTAACGATGTGAAGATTCTAGAGGTTGTTGTCTCATCATGTGGGAGATTTGTGGTCCAGGGATAGAGTGGCGAGAGTATGAAAATAAAAGAGGTGCATGCTGGAGGAAGGATCAAGGTTGTCGTCTGCGGAAGAGGTTGAGTGTCAACAGACAAAGTGGAAACGACCAGGTCTTTTGCTGGAAATCCTGTCACGTTCAGTGTCACGTTTGACTGTTCTATTAGTTGCAATCGGGTATAATGCATCTCTCTCTCTCTCTTTTATTAAGCCTAAAATTATAATACAACAAAGGAATCAAATCATTTAATCACTATCCGAATCAGGTAATTCTTCGAACCTCCCCTCACGGACAGCCTGCGCGACGGGATTCTCCACCTTGAGGATACCGTTGGCTCTGGCCCTAGTCAGGGTTAGCATTAGCCCCTATGAGCAATATGATAGACTTACCTCTCAAAAAGCACAAACAGTCGCTCGGCCTCTCTCTCCTTCTCTTCCTGGGACATAGGAGGACCCGTATCCTGTTTCTCTGCGGCCCATCTTTGACCGGTGATGGGGTTAATCTCAGGGTCGAGCCTTTCTGTGGCGAACGCCTCTCCGGCAGTCTTGGGGAT